ATACAAGAAGTAGACCAACAACAATTTGAGATGTACAGTCCAGTGTTTACACTCACATGTTTAGCTTCAGAGCCAAAATCGTATCTCTACCAGCTAATAAGCATCACCAGCTAAAGTGTGAACATAGCTCCAAGTACCAGCAAATAAAAAATAGAGATAAAAATAAACAGTAATGAGTAAGTAGATATTTGAAACCAGCCTTCAAAACACCTCCAAATTTGTCTCATCTCATGTATTATTTTAAAATTTAACTTTTAACTTTTCCCATATTTTATTCTTCTGACTGGATCTAGGTTTATTAACTCAATCATGTGTAATTAAGAATTCTGTTTTGTCTTTGTAGTGAAAATCAGATGGCCTGTGTCAACTTGCCAATGTTCTCTAGAACTCTGAAATGACTTTTAGCTTCACGATCACCTCATTTGAAAGCAGCTATGTGAATTACATTCAAAAGTCATAAATAGGTCCTCAGTTTCAGGGACGGGGCAGGAAACTCTATCTGCTCAAAAATTTAAGCACTTTTCAGAAGTACATTATTAGCTAAAAACATAGAATGCTTACAGTCATGAACTCTGTCCAATGTTTCATATTATCCTATTTATTATTTATAACAGTTCTGTGAATTAGGTCCACTTATTATCAGCATTTTGTATTGGAAATGTACAGAAGTTAACCATTTTGTCTAAGATCTTACTGTTGGTAAGAGAAAAAGCTGGATCTTAAGCCCAATTTGACTGAAACCAAAGTCCATGATCTTAATCACTGTGTTATGTTGGTACCATCCGATGCCTAAACTATAGACAGACATGAAAAGGAGTCACATGCCTCATACCAGGAGTTTTGAGAAAATCTTCAAAATGTTCTAAGTAGATAAGAAGCCAGTGGTAGATTGGTGGAAGCATTAAGATCCTGTGTAAAGACCTATGAGTCCATCTGTATCTCTATGATATAACAACTATCTTTTTATATTTTCCTTGACATAAATATTGCATCATTAGTTATGGAAGTACTTTTTGCATAAGCAGATTCTAGGCTCTCTAGACGTGTTAGACAAAGTCAAACAAAATATTTTTTTTATTCCTTGACTTGAAGTTATTTAAGGTCTTGTGGTTTAGTAGACTCTCTTAGGAAGTAGCCCAGACCTTTGAGTCTCTGACAATTTTACCATAAGAGAAATCAACAGAGTTGCATTCTTAATCCAAGACTTAATGTTTCTGGCTCCAAGTGTATGGCATAAAATAATCTGGAGTTAAATCAAGTGGTTAATTCCAGAGGTGGAGTAGGAAAGAAGAGCCTGGCATATTTTCTCATGCCAGAAAGTATGAAAGTGCTCAAGTAAAGGATGGTGTGTGCCACAAGGACACAGGGGACAGACTGACATGGCCAAGAGGAACAATCAGAACTCCAAAAAATTAAAGGCAGTCATAAATTGCAAGCAATTTTCAAAAGTTGAGAATTCTTGAGTTCATGCCATAACAAACAAGTAGACAAATAATAAACAGGGGAAAGTAAAGTCCTTGTGTATAGTAGACTGTCGAGGGTTAACTGGTAAAAGTAAAAGGAGTGTTGAAGCTAGAAAAAAAACGTTAGTTTGATCATCAGAGTAAAGATTGTTTCACAAAAGAATCATCAATAATGTTAAGTCTATGGGCAGGGTTGACATGTGGAAGACATTTGCACGTCATGTTTTTAGAAGCTCTGCCTACAGACTGCTGACTGGTAGCATGGGAATGAAAAAACAAACCATACTGTGTAGCAGTCTGAAGACACCTTGATTGGGTAATTGAAATGAACATCACAAATGAGAGACAGATGGATCTTCTGTGCCTTGGGATATGATTTGCGGAGAAGGATCCCATTTCACTTACTTCCCCATGAGCATAACTGCAATACCATCATGAGAAAATATGGGGCCCAAGTGAGAAACATTCTATTTTAGAAAGGGTGCAAGCATGGTGGAGAAATGTTAAAGTTCAGTCATGACAAAGACTGAAAATTATTCCCCGGATTAAAGGGGACTAAAGTGATACGGCAACTAAATACCACACATGGTCCTGTATTGGAGTTCGTATTAGAGGGAAAAGTGATCTATCAAGGACACTATTGGATGAGTTGACAAACTTGGAGTGTGGCTGTTTAATTGGATAAAAGTATAAGGTCAACATTAAATTTATTGGAAATGAGAATGACTATGGCTATGTAGAGAGAATGCCATTATTCTTCTGAAATCTACACTGAAATATCTAGAGATTTAAAAAAAGGCCAAGATGTATTCAGCTTGCTCCCAAGTGATTCAATTATGTGTGTGTGTGTGTGTGTGTGTGTGTTCATATATCTCTACTTACTCTACACACAGAGCAAAGGATGACACAAATTGACCAAATGATGACAGACAGAATGGAGTAAAGAATACAGAATGTTCTTTGTATGACTTTCATTACCCTTTTAAAATGTAGATTTGAAATGAATTTCCAAATACAGAGCAGACAAAATATGAAGAACATCATTTGTAGACGTGAACCCTAAGGCAGCTCATGAGTCTAGAAACATCGCAGGAAAGGTGTTTGTTGGTGAGATACGGTGAGTTGCTAGAATTAACAAGCAGAATGGCAATCCTCCCTGGCTCCAGTGATGGCTGTGATGTGGCCGAACCCACAGCCTCATTTTTCTGTCGCTTAGGAAGTTCTGTGGAGCTGTCATCCTGTGACCAGCCATTTATTATTGATCTTTAAAACTAGAATCGACTATGAATGAGCCATCAAGACTTACCAAAGGTATGGGTAAAAAAATGTAAACAAATCACGTGTACAAAAACTAGCCATTCCTTTTAGTATTAACATAGAGCACAGCTATATCTGCTTTTGCCACTGAACATGTTCACATGCTAACTGCTGTGTGAGACACATTCTCTTTCAGGATATAGCAAATGAAAATGAGAACATGCAAGACATTGACGTTTCTTAGGTAAAATATAAACAGATCGATGACCTTCATAATTTTGCTTTGAAATACAGATAAATACATTGAGAAAAGCTAATAGAATTATCAGACATGTTCCTTAAAGCAGAAACTCCACAATGCTGTGCATTTTTTTCTTTTTCTTTTTAGTGCCTTGCATTTGAATTTTGATTTTAACAAATTATGATTTGAAATTATTGGAAATGTTTATAAAAATATCCATGAAGTCTAGCTATTCATTGGATAATAGTTAATACTTATGCTAATTTTACTCATTTGCTGAGTATGGCAGGATCAGAAAAACAAATCTCTGCGCAGTTTAACTTATAAACCAAATCTGTCTTCTTTCAGCTTCATGATGTTATCCATTATTATTATTCTAATAACTTCACTAACCAACATTCCTATTTAATTAAACTAAAATGTATCCAAGCACTTAAGAAAGAGGAATCTGCATAATAACAAGCCCTGCAAAGCAGGAGAGTTAAATCCAAAATATTAATCTTAAATTATATGAAGATGGAGATTATGTGTTTCATTCTGACAAAAATTATGTTGCCATATCAGATCTAAATTTCTGGAAAGATGATTAAGAATCAGCTGTACATTTGCATATCAAGCGATACTTTTTAAAACACATTTATGCTATTATCTTATCTGAGTCTCACAATAGCCGTGGATTATTACCACGCGACTTTTGGAAAGTGGGAAACTAGCTGAGGGTGACTGGGGCTACAAGATGTGCCCAAGGGTTGGCTGAACTGACGAGTAGGAAGGAGGCTCTGGAGCATGTGTGTGTGACGGCTTGTCGTGGTGAGTTTGTTGCACATATGCCCCACAGAGGGTCCTGCCATGAACGCGCCGCTCGATTACCAGTTCTGTTTCTTCTGAGCAGGCTACAGAGTGAAGTGTTGGCAGTTAGGAGCACACTCCTACATCAGAAATATTGCAGGGGCTGGAAGACACACTACACAAGGGCATCGTGCTGACATCCTGACGTCCCCTCACATTAGTAGTAACAGTAAGCCTGCGACGTGCGTGAGTTTCATTAACCCCATTGCACACATGAGGACACTGAAAGGTGCTGAGAGATAAGTGATATTAAAGGAAGGATAGCAGACAAAATAGATTCTCCAGTTGTGCTCCTGCTACACCTGCATGAAATGTACCATTCTGACATCATGAAAAGCAATTTCATTGTATCAGACTTGTGGGAGTTAGTTCCACCCAAAATATAAAGCAAATAAAATCAGATTCCATTTATCTGAAATGAGGCGGGATCCCATTCATTAAATGTACCACTCTGACCTTCAGCGTATACCCAAAGCTACGTAGTTCAGGCTTTTAACATGCAGACAACTGGTGACTCTGTCAGAGTTGTGCCTGTGAAAGCAGCTGTTTTGATGGTGAGCATGGTCAACTTCCTAAAGTTGACTTTGAGAGGGTGTGCACTGCAGCAGAGCGCTGGAAACTCATGAGGGTGTTGTGCCTTCATTTCACCGAGTTATACGATCTTGTACAAGTTACTTCAACTCTTGGGTTTTAGACCCCTCACCTGTTAAAGTTCACTCTAACTCCAAAATCTTCAATTCTGAACTGTAGTTTGAAATCAGACCTAGCAACCTCATAATCTGATTAACTTCACTCTCCCCAACTATGTTAGTGGTTCATGCTGGCCTATTAACACGTGAAGGCTGCTTGAAAAACTCCCTGCCACATTAAGATGAAGATATTTCTCTTATAATATTTCCACTGGAGACTTTTATCTATTGACGTGTGATTATTCCATATACTAGAGTCAACATACGTTTGACTGGAAATCAGGAGACATCGATTCTCTTCTGGGCTCGGACAGAAAGGAGTCATTTAACTTTTGTGAACTCCAGTGTCTTTAGGTATAAAGTGCAGTGTGAACACATGCATCCTTCCCACCTCATGAAAAGATACAAAACATTCAATAAGTCGACTCCGAGGTTCTGAACGAGCGAGGCGGCGCGAGAGCAATGAAGGGCAGAAGCCGCACCGGCCGATCCCTGTTTTACCTGATGGGGAGATGTGTCGCCAGGAGATGGAAGGCTCTGGCTTCCCGGTGGCCAGGCAGGTAAGGGTGACGTTGGTCCCCTCGTTGATGGTCATGTCGTTTGAGATGTCATAGATCTTCGGAGGAACTGAAAGGACAGAATATGCCATGGTCAGCAAAGTTGATACAATTGTGGTGAACTCCCTAGGCTTAACCCCATGATATTGTGCGAGAAAGGGACGGTGATGAAACGTTCTTATGGCTTGTGGTCCTCACCTAAAAGACAGATTCTCTGGAGCCTCTAGACTTTGTGCTTACTAGTTGGTTTTATTTTTTTCTCTGACTTTTACCTATCAAATACTTCGGGGCAAATGGAATATTTATTTTTTTACAAAGTTTGAACGTTGATTACATTCAACATGTATTGTGAGTACTTTTTATTAGGTATACTAGAATATAACCAATCTATTTTATCCACCTGTTGTCATTTAATGATGGTTTTCCTGTTGAAACGCTTAAATAAAACTGGAAATCTTGAAGAGACTTAAGATAGCAGAACCGTTATGCCTGCGTGCTGATTTAAATGCTGAGTGAGGTCAAGTTTGGGAGGTGAGACTGCAGGCTCGCAAAGGCATTTTTGGCTTCAGTTTTCTATCTGCCAGATAGTGGGACTTGGCTTTCTCACAATTTACGTTCGAAGGAACACATATTCTAAAGACTGGAAAGGGGGGTTTAATCAAGTTTTATCAGCTTGGAAGCGCTGGCTGAAACTGAGCTTCTCACCTCAGGACTTCTCCGTACCTTTGCTATGCCGTCATGAATTGTAAATCTACAAGAGAGAAGAAGGAAATGTCCCATGGTGTTTTCTCTAAGGTGTTACGCTGTAGGAGTTTTTATATCAGAATTCGTTTATGGAATACGCTTGGGACACATTGGAGACGACAGAAATCTCTCAGCTAACTTCTAGGACTTAATTTCCATATTCTCTGGAAAGCCAAATGTCTCATTGAATCCTCAAACAGCATGTGCATGAGTCCTGGATTCTCCACTGGCTTTGTGCTATTTAGGGCACATCTGTCTCAGCCTCAGTGTCTTTCTTTATCTGAAAGCTGGAGACAGTAATAGAGCAAGTCCTATATAGCTGCTGTGGAGACTAGGTCAGTCAATATTTGTCAAAGGACTTTAAAAAGTCCCTGACATCAGTGCTAGACATTATTATGAGATGCCATAAGGCACATAAAGGTGTTCGAATTTAATCGTAGTACTGCCTTTTTCCTATGTGTTAAAATTATTCTCAGATATTCATCAGTTTTGTAGTGTGTATGAGTAACTTGGGTCATAAGTAAGTTTTGGTTTACTTTATAAAAATTACAGTACGTTAATACTTCAGGCCAAATCTAAATAGATGGCAATTGGACACCCTGGTAATATTGGAAAAACTATTTTTTTTTTTACTGGAACCTTTTTAATTGTCCCATTTCTAAAATGTCTTTATGGAAGAAATATGTGTTATCAGTTATTCTAAAAGCCAGTAACTAAAATCTGTTGTGACAATAAATTAAATTACCCATACTTCAAATATTATCTTTAATTTTTTTATGGAACCAAAACTATCATGAAGGATGACATAATTGCAAATATGGAATATTTGATTATAAGTAACTGTTGATACGACTGAGGAGAAAGCTTGTTCCTAATATACCATTGTAATGGCTTCCAAATGACATAGTTTAATTGGCATTTAGAATACATATTATTAAACTCTTCAGTGAGCTTTTCTCGGGCAATAATTTAAGAAAATGAAAACCATCCTAAATGGAGGACTTTTTTCAGCTTGACTGCAACAGAACAGAAATGAAACCATTAGAATACTCTAGAAGGAAACTATAGAAAATTTTGCATGACTTCCTGATAAATAGGAGAGTTAAGAAAAACAAATTTACAACACTAAACAGAAGTGTCTTTTAGATATTGGGATGTAAGTATAAGCTTAATACTGTAAACTATAAGATACATTTGTTTGTATGTAAGTGTATCTGCACACATACACATATATTCTGATGATCCTTGCTATTTTTTGAGTCTTCAGTGGGGTGAATGCAACACACATTCAGTAGAAGCCATATTTTGAGTACCCAGACAACCATTCTGTTTTTTGCTCTTCGTAGTCAATAAATTACACGAGATAGTCAACACTTTTCATAAAATAGGCTTTTTGTGTTCTGAGCATGTTTAATGTAGGCTAGCCTAAGTTATGATGTTCCATAGGTTATGTGTGTCAAATGAATTTTTGACTTACAATAGTTTCAACTTTCAAAAGATATACCTGGATATTACCCCATCATAAGTCAAGGAGCATCTGTATTTATACATCTATATATATAATATACTCAAAACCATATATATGTGTGTGTGTGTGTGTGTGTGTGTACACACACACACACACACACACACACACACACACACACACACACACCAATGACCACTATTTTTTAAAAAAATTATATATTGCTTTTCTTCTTTATGTAGAAGATAGTACCAAGAGTTCTTAGTCTAATCTGGATGTTTACTTTTATATTTCAAATTGTTTTTTCGAAATTGGACAGAGGTGTGTATATTTAAGATAAATAATGAAGAGTCATAAGAACACACACTCCATACTCTGAAGTACCTAATGTTGTCGATCTTAATTGATCATAACATAGTTTCATTAAATCTTTACACATCCACGTGTATTTGAAGTGCTAAGTGTCATGATAAACTGACAGCACGAGCATTTGACTACACGGAGAAACAACTAAGTCTCTTAGCAATAAATTTAGACGTGACATTGAATCCAGGAGTCGTGTCCTAGGGGAGAGTGGTGAATTCCAGGTGTGACGTGTCGTTCACCGTGATGCAGCTGCCTTCCAGGGCGTCATCACTCAGGACATGCCATGGAGAACAGAGGCTGTGTGCATCCGAGGGCGATGAAGTCCTTTACGGGCGCAGCGGCTTGTGGTGGCAGCTCAGGTGTCACGTTGCTGAATGCGCAAAACCTTTGCTTGTTCAGTTAAAAACTTCCAACTTTCACTGAGGGTCACGAACAGAATGATTCTGGACCGACAGGAAATGCAGACATTGGCAAGCATAATCTTTGCCCTCGAAAAACTTAAAGGAGAGAAGCAGATAGGTAAGGAACTAAGAGAAGGCAACCCTTTTCCACATTTCCTTTCCCATTTTACACGATGACATGATTAACACATCCAAGAGCGATGCTTTCTGGGTTCAAATTAGTAGAGATCAGTACTGAGTTGGTTTCTTTCAAAGTCAATCAGGTAGGATAGTTTATGCCCAATGTTCTCGAGTGGGGTGCCATTTATCATAGAGGAAGATGTCTGATAACCTCAGGGTAGGGCACCAGAAATGGAGGGACAGTGAATTAATTGGTCAGCTGGATGATGTTCTCAACTGTCAGCTGTGTCCGCAGCATAAGGCATGGCACTGAGGAAGGGTCCACAGCATCTGCTCAGGGTATGGGGAAGGAAGGAGAGATGCTTCCACCCTGGAGGAGAAGCAGGAAGACTGGTAGCCTCTCAGCCTTCTGAAGATGGGTGGTTCGGGTAGCTGTCAGTCTGTGTATAAACAATGCACACACACCTGTAATCCCAGCACTTTGGGAGGCTGACGCAAGAGGATTGCCTGAGCCCAGGGGTTCGAGACCAGTCTGGGTAACTTGGTGAGACCTTGTCTCTACAATAAACCACACACACACACACACAAAATTAGACAGGCGTGGTGGCATGCGTCTGTAGTTACAGCTACTTGGAAGACTGAGGTGGAAGGATCACCCGAGTCCAGCAGGTCCAGGCTGCGGTGGCCGTGAGCATGCCACTGCACTCCAGACTGGGCGACAGAGTGAGACTCCAACTCAAAAACAAAACAATGCATACACACAGGTGGAAGGGTTCCCACGCTTGCTGAATGTTTTTCATGTTTTATCGTGTGTCCAATATTCTAAGCACTCGCGTAGAAAAACAAAAAAATTTAGGAGAGTTAAAATAACTTACTATTCTAGATGTGTGCTCCTTTTTGACTTACCTTATTCAAACACCCTCATATCATTTTCTAAATATTTTAAAATGACATATAAAAAGGAGCAGATGTGTTTAATCAATTCAACAATTTTCAAGTCACTGAATAACCCCAGATTTTAATAAGATTTTGGATTGCTATGTACTTTACTTATGACTCCGGTCAGAGTAATGAAGAAATATCTTATTCATCTAAATGTAAGCCTGTTTAATATTCAGAAATAATTATTATACTATCACTGCCAACATCATATGACACCATAGATAAAAACAATGAAAAGGCAGAAGTTTTAGACTTAGCACTAAATCACAGATTAGCTCTCACCTAGTAAAACTCTAATTGGGGACATATTAGACTTTACAAACTGTATTTATAATTAATTGTATATCACCAGATGGAGTGCCAAGAACGTTGAAAGCTTCCTAAGCAAGAGATGGAAAGCGAATGTGAAGGCTGGTTGGGTGCAGTGCTTTGTAAAATCTCCACACCTACTTAGAGGTTTTATTGTTGGGCTCTCAGAATCATCATCTGCTTTGCATTTAATTGCTTACTAGCCAGAAATTCAGCTACTACTTATCGCCAAGTTAGTCTTCAACGTCTGCTCAGCTGACCCCACGGTGAGGAGATAATGCATATTTAGATGTATCCATAGATTTAGATCCTCTACAGATAATTTAAATCTCTTTATAGCCTCCCTTTCTGTTTTTGTTTTTTTTTGAGTTGGAGTCTCACTCCATCGCCCAGGCTGGAGTGCAGTGGCCCGCTCACAGCTACTGCATCCTTGACTTGCTGGGCTGTAGAGATCCTTTCGCCTCAGTCTTCCAAGTAGCTGGAACTACAGGCGCATACTAACACGCTTGGCTTACTTTTGGATTTATTGTAGAGACGAGATCTCATCACGTTGCCCAGGCTGGTGTCGAACTCCCAGCTCAGGCAATTCTCCCACCTTGGCCTCCCAAAGTGCTGGGACTACAGACTTGAGCCACCATGCCTGGCATTGTAGCTTCACTTTCACCCATAAGTTAGACAGTCTCACCTCCCCGCTCCCACCCCGCTATCTGTCAGTGTCCTCTG